AAGTCTAATCATAAATTGCATTCTTGTTAAAGTTTTATTTCTAAAAGTATAACATTAAAAGCTTATTTTGCAAGTCTTTTAAAATTTGAACTGCTATTCCATTCCAAGTCCAAGCGGTAGTTTATCAATAAACCGGCTTGCTAATGCTAATAGTTTTTATCTCTTCGCATAACATGTGTGCCGAATAGTATTTTCATTTGTTAGCATTTCAATTATTGAAAATGATTGCGCAATGTTTGCTTTTCCAATCAGTCAGGCATCAATGATTTGTGAAAACAAACCACAATTGTGGCAAAATAGAATCGGAAATTTCGCTCAGCTTTATTCCGGATTCAGGGAAGTTTTTATTAGTCCTTTCCAAAGTCGTTCACTTGATTTTCCCGACCCATTTTACGTAAGAATTACAGAAGGTGATTTCAACAATAAAATTAAGAGAAATACCATTGTTTGATTGAACATAAAGCGAACTCAAGCGAAATTTGAGGGCCGATTGTTCCAACAAGCGGGTTGCTGATGGCAACGACATATATTTCAAGGTGGCTTCACTGGCAAAGACAAGCCCTTCTTCAGTCGGCTGCCAAAACCGAATTAGCATGAAGCCTTGCTTATTAGAAGGTCTTACTTTTTATAAAGTAAGCTTACATAATAACCTTACATACGTAAGTACTAAGAAGAATGCTCTATGACGGTCGCATTTTGAAGGCGAGCATGAAACAGAGTGAAACGGCAAAGCTTAAAGTATTGCTTTTGATTAAGAAATAACTTTAAATTAGTCGTTTGTTGATTACCAGCATTGCATAATGTTCAAAATTAAAGTATACATTGCAACTCAAAGATGTCACCAAAAATGTTGAACAGGACAATAGACTCACAGAATGGCAATTTATTAGACTCGAGTCCTTTCCAGTACGCTAAGCTGACGTCCTGCTTTTCATTTGTATGCGGATGAGTCTATATTATAAAGCCAGCTGCTTCAGGCAATTCACTGCACTTGCATTACAATGCAGAACTTTGTGGATCCATGTCCTTAATCTTGGCCTCCTCCTTCCATTTTCCTTAGAAGAATAAACGTGCGAGCAGCCAAGCGCATGACATTCTTGCCTTTTAAGTCCCATTTTCATGATGCGAACCCGAAAAACTCACAAAAGCGTGACCAACAAGCCCTTGCTCCTCCAACTCAGCCCAACAAACACAAACTATAAATTAAAAAAATAAAAACCAACTTTTCATTACAAAATAATAAAAATAATACTTTTGTGCGCTCCACCCGCAGACAATGGCAATGTTTGATAGCAGTAAGCTAACAACAACAACAATAGCAACAAAAACAACAACCGTGGGCCACAACATAAATTTCATTAATTTTACTGAGCCAAATTGTTGAAGTTTTTGCCGAGCATTCGCTTTTTGTTTTCATAAAAATGATTTTCATTTTTGAAGACAAAAAGCGTTGCATATTTTTCAGCGCACCCACACACACATTCTATATAGAATAACTGCTGACTGGCTATGTTGGCTTGTTGGCTGGCTTGTTGACCATGTTGCAATGTTTTAGTCGAGACAAAAGCCAACATCCTGCCTCCCCCTCTCTTCCACAACCACCCCCGCCCAACGCCCACTCGTTGGCATTTTGAAATGCTAAAAAGCCGTGAAAAATAGCACAAAACACGCTCGCAAAAATGCTATTTTACAAAAATAGAAGAAAAAAGCAGAAAAAACTTTCCACAATTCATTTTAGTACGCTCGTGTGTTTTGTTATCAACATGTTGACATTCAGCCGAGTAACTCTCGTCTCGCTTCCGGCCCAATGCAGTCGTGCGTAAGCGACTTCCGCCTCAGCGTTGGCATTGTCATGGCCTTGCAGCCAGCACCCTTGCCGCCCACCACCCCTGCCCACACATACTATACATATATCATTGTCAGTGTATTTTAAAATGTTTTCATATCGTTTATAAGCATTGTATTTAAATTTATTGCTTCATTGAAGCGACAAAACATATGAAATGTTTATTAGATATTTACCCTCCCTAAAAAAATAAAAAACACAAAAAGGAAAAAGGCAAAAGCAGCCTCTACTTTAGCTTAAATGGTGCTCGAAGGCGTACACAATGGGCATGAAAAATAGTCGCACACTTGGCAGCTAAGCCAATAAGTACCTTCTGTATTACAAAATAAATGTAAATACTTTGTAAGTTAAGTTTTGGGATAGGCTCCATTGTGATAAATAATAAGCTCTTTTAATAAGACCTAATTCATTTTATTTAAAGTATGATGAAAAAATAGCAACTAAACTAATTTAGGAAAGTAGACATTATTTACACAGCCATTAATTCATTCATTTATTTAAAGTATGATGGAAAAATAGTCAATTGATATTCATTCATTTATTTAAAGTATAATGGAAAAAAGTCAATAACTATACTAGAAATGTAAATATTATTTACATTGCCATTATCAACATTTTTGGAAGTTACACAAAAATCTGGTACTTTTTCTAGTGTAATATTTATTGCACGTTTATTGTATTTGTATTTAATTACTCAAGTTGAGGAGCCTCTCATTTTTGGCAGCATGTCTACAAATGCGTTTCTCTGTTTTTAACTTTAATCATTGTAGAATGGCACCTTTCCTCTTCAATCCTTTTTCAATAAGAGGGCTTGAAGCCTTTTTAGTAGTCTTGTTACTTCTGATGCCGTTAATGCTTTTGAAAGTGAAGAAAACGAAAAAAACAAATCATTCTAACATGAAGATTCACTTTATGTTATTCGTATACATTTGCCAACCAACACCTGTTTGCTGCCAATGAAGCTGCAGTAGCAATTAAAAACGTACTTTAAATAATTTCCAAGTGTACTTTTTTATCCTGTTTTTAATGCTATTAAATTTTTCACACAAAATTAGTAAAAGTAGAATTTAAAAAAAAAATGGCTAAATAATCATAATAGACATATAACTTCTAAATGCTTTTGAATATACATAAGAAACCATGGAAATGGATTTCGGAAACGGCTGGGCGCACATTAACTAAAATTGGAATAGACTCTCCTAACCAAACTGTACAAGCTATTAATATCTAATTCTCTTCTTTTGTTTGAAATTTCATCAAAATCGGGCAATTTCAAGACGACTTGCGGAAGTTTGTTTGGGTACTAGGTTTGTTGTCGGGTTTGTTCTGCTATAGCTTTTCATCTTGTTTTTTGCAAAACATATCGTTATAAAGAGTAGTCGTGTTGTTAACGTGTAATCAAGTTAATGTGCTTCATTAATGTTTCCAGTAGGGCTACAGCGACTATTTTTTTGTTCTCCATCTCCTATGTAGGTTATGCATAGGGAAGACAATAAATAACTTGACATCGCGATCGACAATATCGACAAAATTTACTTTATTTATTCAATGAATCAAAAGGACGCTAAAATATACTTTGGAATACAATCAGATGATCAATACTTTGTAAGGGCGGGACAGTTTATTTATACACAAATTTATACACAAATTGACTTGTAACTAAATTTCAGAAATGTATTTGTTTGAAAAGTATTTTTTTGGTTAATACAACGTCCTCAACAATTCACGGCCACAAAACAAACAAATATGTAAAGATATTTTTTCAAATAACTAGTATCATGAACAAATTTTATGAATTGATCAATGAAAAAGTTTTGCTACAGTGCAACCTTTTCATCGAATTTCAGTAATGAATTGTTGCTATTCAACGAAATATTTTTATTTTTTTATTTAAAACTAAACTTTGAGTATTTTAAATAAATAATTTTAGTTGCCATCTTTTATGGAACTACTATTACAAAATATTTTATAAATTTATAGTTGAAAAAGTTGAATTACCAATTAAAAACTTTTCTACTATTCCACTTTACCAACTCTATTATAATTTTTACCTGGAATCGAGCACGTCCAGCTGTTTTTTACACTCAATTTTGCATAATAATCCGCTTAAAGTGCGCTGGCAAATTTCTATAACTTGAATGGGAACAGTAATGCTATTAACAATGTATTGTATGAAATTTGCATTCAACAGAGAGCCATTGAGATTGCTCCGCACCTTTACCCATATCCCCTCTACCGCTCTCTTATTATTGCATGCAACATTTTGCATAATAAATAGTTTAGATTTTAAGGTTACCTGCACTGAATACACATACACAGCCGTTAAAAGGAAAAACAGCAACCACAAACACAACAAGCTGCACGTAATTAGAAACGCCCTGCCAACTAACACAACGCACACACATACTTATATAAATACTTACGTATATGTATATACAGTGAAAACTCCCTTAATGGACACCTCTTTTATCCGGACACTCTCTTATCTTTTTCTAAAACATTCGATCGGTGTATAAAGTATTTAAGTATCCCCTAAAGCGGACAAGAATTGGCCGACCGTGAGTGTCCGGCCAAGAGAGTTTTCACTGTATCTAGATTTGTATGTATATATTGCACACTTTTAGGCATGTGCAGCCTTTGTTTATGTAAATATTTAACACTAGACTACTTAACCTACATATAAGCACAAAGCACACATGTTTTTCCTTGCCAACCTCCTTTTTTCTTGTGTGTGGTTGCAACAACACTTAAGCAAAAGCAATTACAAGCACACACACACACACACACACACAACTATACAAATGTACACACACAAACACACACGCTTGCACACTATACGCAGACTAATAACATGGCTGGCAACTAATGTAGATGGAACGCACAAATAAGAAACCCCCTACACACCCACAAAAAAACCCACACGGACACATTTGTGATACACAACAAAGCAAAGCCCACAAAATAAAACACTGAGCCCAAGAGCACGCAACAAAAACACACAAAGCAACGCATAAGAAATTGGCACTAACAACAACAACAACAACACACCAACACTACTACTGCCGCAACACCAGTAACAACTACAATAACAGCAATCTATTCCATGTACTTTGACATGCATTCTAAAATGTGCTTTCATTCTTTTTCAATTTAGAGCGCTGCCTAAAAGTATGCTGCATCATTAGTGTCGAGCAACAAAGCAAACGGGCTAGAGCGGCGTGTGCGAGAGCGAGACAGCCCCAAAGTTTACAGTGTCAAACTGTAAATTGAAATGTGTGCTCATTAGGGCAAAAGCTACAACAAAAACAACAGCAGCAGCAACTATAGGAAAAGCGCATTACGAACCACGACGACGACGACGGCGACGACGACAAGTTCCTAAGTCTAACAAACAAAACTACAGTAATGCAAGGACTACAAAAACAAAAAATAGAACAACAACAAGAAGAAGCCTGTCGAAACAAAATTTTCGTTGGCGCACATTCATAATTGCCAGCAACAGCAACACAAACAACACAACAACAACAACAACAAAAGCAGCAGTTGCTGTAAAAAGTCAAGGACATCTAAAAAGCAACTGTAATTTACAGCGCGGCATGAACAAGACACCAAAGCACAGCAGCAGCACCAACAACAACAACAACAACGGCAACGAAAAACTCAGCATGTTGTACGCCAAAAAGCTGGCAAGCTGATGCGCTTGTAGCCGCCCAAAAGAAAACAGCTAAACGCAAATTAAAAGCAAGCAAACAATTTACACTACGCAGGGAGTAAGCGAGAGAGAGAGAGAGAGTGCGAGAGAGTTTGTGTACGAAAGAGAAAGAGAGAGATAGAGCGCAAGAAGCGTGGCAACAGGCTGGCTGGCATATGCAAATTATTCTTGTCAACGCCAATGTCGGAAATTGATATATTCGATTAGCCATCTAACGAGCAGGAATAGGTGCAGGAGAAGGCGCAGGAGCAGGCGCAAGAGCAGGCACAGGAGCGTCAGCTGTCACGATTTGTCAGCGAAGACTGACGACAGCGCCACAAATAATAATTACACGGAGCCTTCTCATTGTTGTGCCTCGTTGAAGACCCTTCGGCCGCATTGTTTGCCATTTTGGTGCATGAATTGAAGCGAGTGTTCGGTGTTTCATATTTTTCGCTTGCTCGCTCTTCTTCTACTCCCTCGATTTGTTGTTGCCGTTGTTGTTATTTGCAGCGCCAGTCACATAAGGCCGCATTAAGCCAGCAAACGTCGAGTCATGCCTGAGCAGGATAATTACGATGATGAGGTAATTTCTTTGTTGTAGAACTCACACGCAGACCCAAGAATTTATGTTCTGTGCATAAATATCATTAAGCATAATTAATTATATATGTATATAAATATGCTGCACGTGTCCTGTCTATGCGTATATCTGTGTGTGTGTGTGTGGCATGGTAAGTTGCAAGTGGATGTGGCAAGGGTATTTCCGGCAGCTTTGTGTAATTATAAAATGCGTTTTCCCCACAAAGTATTTTAAGTATTTCGGTAAAGCAAGAGCTTAGGTCGGATTACAATTTAAGAAAGCAGCATCTTGGAAATTAGAGAACTTTGAGACTAAAGTATGTGCGTTTGCTAACTGTTAAATGGAAGGAGGTGTTTTCTGAGCATTAGCTTCGGGATTATGCAAAATCGAACATATTATTATGTTTTCAAAAATCTGAATGTAGAAATTATATACTGATTTTCTAGTTTCACTGCAAACTGCTTTTAAAATTGCCATGTTAGAAATTAGACCAAATAACTCTAAATAAAAACTACAGAAAAGTTGTATAGCTAGTACAAAATGAGTCTTCAAATCTCTTAAGCAATGGAGCTTGACGTTCATAATTCAAGACCCGCACCAATGAAAGGGCTTAGCTTAAAAATCATTTTATAAACTAAATTTTTATACCGTAACGTACAAGAAAATATTTGTTTTGTGCAAAATGGAAAAATTACACGCCGAAAGAGGCGGGTAGACCGCATAAAGTAAATACATTTGATCAGGATGAGTCGATTTAGCCCCGAATTTCTTTCTGTCCGATATCAGAGATTATAAGAGCTAGAGATACCACACAGATGTTTAACATTTTCGCCTAACTCTCTTAGACTGTGTGTATGCAGAACCAGTGTATTTAAAAATGTTCCCCACTCCCCCCGCCACTGCACTAAGTTTCTACTAGATTCTATAGTGTCTGGGCTCTAGGTATTCATATTCACGGACAGATAGGCGGGCATAAATCGGCTTGTCTGCAGATCAAGAATATATACACTTTTTGTCAGTATAAGTATTTATAGATTAAAGTACGTGCGGGCGAAGTTTGAAGGTTACTTTTATATCGATCTCTTATTAAATTGCAATACATTTTTGTTGGCCAACTTTTATGCGTCTGCTTTCTTCCTTTATAACTTAGATCCAAAATTCTAATTACGAAATGTTTAATTTTTGATTTATACCTCATTGTCCCTCAATGATAAAATGTGTAGAGTTTTAGATAACCATTTATTTGCTTTTAAGTATAGTGCGGTAAATATTTTTCACGTTGTTACGATACATTTCTATGACAGTACATTAAAATATTTGATACCATAATAGTTGCGATAAAATTTCGATAACTTGTGTAGGTTCGACATTTAAAATGAGTATTAAATGAATACAATAAATGTATACGTATTCAATGCCATTATTATTAATATAAAATATAAGCAGTACTATGTTTTTTCATGTGTGAAATATAAATAACATTTTGACTTACCAACTTTCGATACTCTTCAGTTAACTTAAAACTCAGCAGAAACCTGAATCTGGACTTGACTTACCCTCACTGCAGACTCAACTCACGTGTCTCAAAGTAGTGCTCAAGTTTAATATGCAGCCACTCAGAACCCGCGACTCTGCACAATATTGCATTCTGTGTTGTGCTGTGCTGTGCTGTGACATTACAAACCAATCTTTATGGCTTGCTGCCTTCCTGCCAAACATAAAATCCATAAACAGCCCCTCAGGGTACGATTGCAAACGTGCAGCCAACTACGACATGAGATACCTACAAAGCCGACAAAAGCAACAACAACACAACCCTGCATACAGGGGCAGGATAGCCTGCATCTGTCGCATTAAGTAACGGTAACAGTGTCTAGCTTTCCGGCACACCATTGTCTGCCTCCCTTCCCTGTATTTAGTCAGCGCCCTAGAACCTAAGCACTTATGTAGGTCTGCTGCACAGTGTGGCAAAAATTTATGGGTTTGTTTTTAATAATATATATTTGCAGGAAGTACAGGAAGTAAGCATTCAAAACTGAGATGGTTTCTTTTGGAAAGTAAGTTATGTTGAAAGGAAAACTTAGTAAATCCCTTCAATATGATTGATTTCGAATATTGTTTTGTTTTTGATGTAAAAGGCTAACAATGTTGTTTTCTTCAGCATACAGGAATCGTTCCACAGTTCACTTTTTAAATCAAGTTTTTCTGAAAGCAAAATCTTCCAAAATTATTCAATATACTTGATCCTTTCTATATTATATGAGTACATAAATTAATCAAAATGATTTACGAACGTATTTATACACTAAAGAGTATTGAGTGAAAATAAATAGCCTTTTAATTTTCTGAAGAAAAATATGAAAATTGTCCTTTAATATTCATCCGATGAATTGCACAGACAGGCTTCAAAATATGCCTTACGTGGTTGATGTGTAGTTATTCAATTGAGAAAAGTATTTTAAAATATTAAAGTTAACTTAAAAATAATAATCCGAGCTACTTTGAAATGAAATGTAATTCTATGATCATCTTAGGAAGACCGTCGACTTAGTGTTTTTAAGATTTATTTCGTCCAAATAAAAAGTTTGTTTTAAATGTTTAATGCTGCGTTTGGTTAAGATTCTACCTCAGTTTATGCTTCAATTATGCATCTTTTGGAATTGGATGCTAAGCTAAGAACTGTGGTTTTTTGCTTTCTTAAGAATAAGGTAGAAGGGCTTTTACATTTAAAAAATAAAACTAACTATATATGGTCTCTTACTGGCCTTTTTTCTAACACACAATTTAGTTTCGTCTCAATGCCTTTCGAAAATTTCTGTCTCATTTTTAATTTTTCATCACACTTCAAGATTTATTGATAAGTATAACTAAAAATTTTAGAAAGTTAGAATAGGAGCTTAAAAATTATCAGCATTTGACACCAACAGTCTGCGTTAGCCATCAATTAACTGTTTAAATATGATAAGATTCTCAGCAATTAATATTAAAATGTATAGCCGAGTTTTTATCGGTTTTATTGAATTTTAAGTCTTCTTAATTTTACGCTGACACATAAAATGGGGAAATATTAAAACTATTCACATACTAATTTGAAACAACTGACTAGGCACTATACTAACAAAATTATTTAAGCACGCACAGTTATTCTCCAAACAATTTTTATGTTCGTATAAATAAGCTGATGAACATTTAATGTGTTCACTTTCTTTTTGGTTATTAATACTGTTATCATTAGTATACTAATATATGCCGCATGATATTAATATACTAATGATAATAGTATTATTGTTGGCATATTTTGACATTATTAGATCTTTATTTATTGTTCGATATGTTAAATTAATAATCTCAGAATGGGATATCTTATAATAGATGAAATCTTATTCTAACTGTATTTAAATACAAGTAGATAGTGGCCCTCACGTTTTGTAAGTCTTAAGCATTTCAGCATACCGTTGTTCACATAAATTAAAATTAAGATCCATAGTTTCTCTACCTTCTAAATATTCCAGGTTATGTCAACAATTTCTATTTTCGTATAAATAAGCTGATAAACATTTAATGTGTTCACTTTCTTTTTGGTGATTACTACTGTTATCAGTTTTATCGTTTGTCTGTATTTTGACATTATTAGATCTTTATTTATTGTTCGATAAGTTAAATTACTAATCTCAGAATGGGATATCTTATAAATAATATCTTAAATATTTTGGTATGTTATTCACATAAATTAAAAAACAATAATAAGATTAATACTATTCTAATGAAGTATTAAGATCCATAGTTTCTCTATCTTCAAAATTTTCCAGGTTTTTTAATTGCTTAGACTTTGAATATTTGCCACTGTATGCTGTTGTCAGCAGAAGTTGAGCACAAGGCCATAATGGCGTCGAGCTCGCTATAACTGTCAGTTGCATGTGTGCGTGCGTGTGTGTGTATGCGAGTTTCGTGTTCGGATGTGTCTGTATTTGTCTAGCTTTGCACAATATCTACGTCTATGTCAACACATACTTGAGCTTCCATTACACAGCCATGATTGCTTATTTTTTGCCGCACAGGTGCTCCGCTCATGTCGTCCTGTCTTTGATGGCTGGCCCGGTTTTTAAATGGTTGGACGGGTTGTCGGGTTGACGGGTTGTCGGGTTGTCGGGATGTCAAGTCACCTACACATAAAGTCAAGCGTGTGCTGTCAGGCGGCATTAGGTGGCATGCATTTATCAAAAATGTAATAAATATAGCAACAGGATGGGAATTGGAAGTGACAACAACAATTTCCCATTACCCCTTTGAGCAGCAATTTTCAATTTCAATTTTTTCTTCTCAAAACAATTTTACAATTATTGTCATTTAAAAGAGTTCCGTTTTTGAAGCCCGTTGACGTTCGGTGTTTATCAATTAAATTATTATGCAAGAAATGTGGCTGAATTTAAAAATGAAGTTGCTAATATAATGAATTCAAAAATATTCTGAATTGGAGTATCTGAACTTTTATTAAACGACGTTATACTAAAAAGAAATCTAAAGGAATGTAAAAATGTTCCATGAGAGCTATTAAATTTATATTTTCATTAATAGAATATTCTTTTAATATTTGCTTTGGTAGGTTTTAAAGAAAGCATAATTGATTAAAAAACAGGTTATGGAAATGTAAATCAAAGATATTAAACAAGAAAATATGTTAAGAGTTTGGAAAAGCGAATTTTGAAGGGCTCGATTAGATAACAATTTAAATGTCTTGAGAGGAGAAATTAAGAGAATGCAATTTGAAACCTACCCAATAAAATTATTATATTTAGAATTAAGTTTTTCTTGTATTAATGTATAATGTACTCAATACATTAATGTAAAAAGCAACAGCTGATCAGTATAATTTTGAATGTACTTTTTATTCAATATTGCTTGGGACAACGTTCGAAATTAGTTCGCCAATGTTCAAGATCAGGTTTACACGGTGAAAGCAAAGCAATGAAAGGTAAAACAAGTTTTCATTATTTGAGATCCTT